TTAAGCCTAGGAGGTCAAGGCTGCAGTAAGCTGTGATTGCACCACTGCACTCCAGCCTGGGTGACAGAGTGAGACCCTGTCTTGAAAAAACAAAACAAAACACAAAAACACACCAGGAATTAGGAACCAGGTCCCAGCTACTTAGGAGGCTAAGGCAGTAGGATCATTTGAAACCAGGAGTTCAAGACTAGCTTGGGCAAGATAGCAATCAATAGCCCATCTCAAAAATAAATAAATAAATAAAATAAAAGGAATTTGGAATTGCTCTTGGGCAACTATTGTCATTTTACAGATAGGAAACTGAGGTCTAGAGAGGTTAAGTGTCTAAAATAATACTGTGGATCAGTGGCAGTTAGGACTCCACTCAGTTCCTTACCCTTGGAATAAGTTTGGCTCTTTTGAGGCCTCCAGTGCCTGTTCATTTCAACTCACTGTATGTTTCTGGCTGGAGAGAATGTCCGCTTTTCAGCTCTCTTGGTGTTAGTGCCTCAGGGAGGATGAATAGTGCAGGCTTTTCAGGGGCATGAGGTAGTTAGGCCTGTGCTCAAACTGAAATGACAGCTGAAAGGAGGTGCTTCTCTTATATTCTCTTTAGGTTTCTCTGATAGAGATAGAAATAAGGATGCTGAGAAGGTTCTCTTAACCACTGCTTCCTGCATATACCTTGGCAATTACCTCCTGAAGTTTGTCCTCCTTCCCAGAATCTTGGCCCAGGTCTTTCAGGAAACCCTCATTTGAGCACCCCTTACTCTCCTTATTTCCCCTCCGGGAGGCCCTGCTCTGAACCAGATTCCCAGATGGACTGCCCACACTCATCACACAAGGTACACAGTTTTGTTGGACTAGCCACACAGGGCTCATCACACATGGTGTAAGGTGAAGCACTGTATTAGGTGTTAAGGGAGTTTAAAAAATTAAAAGACAGAATCCCCCCCACGCCCCTTGGGGAACTCAAATATAGTTTGAAAGAACAACTGTTTCAGATCTCTAGGCCAGGAGATAGGGCCCTGGGGCACTTTAGAAGAAATAAGGTGGCCATTCTTCTTGGTGCCATTATTGTTGCTTCTGCTATCATATTCTAATCCAACAACTCTCACCCTAATCCTCTCTTCTCCCAAACCATGGGAGCTGTGTCTTCACACCTAACTTCCATATATTCTATACAGGGTTTGCACACTTGGCTGTTTCTATGTCATGTGATCTCTTCTGTCCAAAGAAAGATGAAAAAAAATGGGGAAGGAAGGATAAGACTGAGATTCAGGCCTAATCACAGACTTAATCAATTAACCACTAAAAATATGCCTTGAGAATATCTATTATGTTCCATAAAATATTCCAGTTTTAAAAAGGGTAGAAATTGACAGTATGATAGAATGGAAAAAACACAGGACTGTTCGGGAGGCTGAGGCAGGAGAATTGCTTGAACCTGGGAGGCGGAAGTTGCCGTGAGCTGAGATTGCACCATTGCACTCCAGCCTGGGCAACAAGAGCGAAACTCCATCTCAAAAAAAACAAAAACAAAAACAAAAAACAAAACCCATACGACGTAAGTCAGAAATCTTGAGTCCTAATCCTCACTTTATGAATGTCTCTGGGCCTGAGTCCCATTGCTGACCAAGTGAAAAGAACAACTGATGAGGAATTCCAGTCCACAATTATACTTACCAGAGCCTGTGAAACTGAGTGTACAAATTTTATGCATGTGTGCATTTTTTCTGGGGGAGAATTCCCCGCCTTCATTAAATCCTCAAATGATGTATGACTCAAAAATAGCTAAGGATTACTGGGCTGATGAATTGCCAAGATCCTTGACTTTCTATGGTAGAATACCAATGTGATTTCAGTCCTCTAAGTTTGTGTGTTTGAAAGATTAACGTATTTAGATTTTCATGGGTTTAAAGTGGTTGGCTGCTTGGTTTGTTCATTTGGTTGTTTTTAAAATTCGTTAATTAAATATTTATGAAATACCTCCTGTGTGCCAGGCACCATCCTAAATACTGGGGGTGTAACAGTGAACAACACTGACAAAAATCTACTCTGTATAACTTAAATTTTAGTGTGAAGACAGAAAAAAACCTCAAAACTCCCAAACAACCTAGGTAAAATATGTAGTGTATCAGTTAGTGATGATAGGTTCAATGGAGAAAATAAGGCCAGGTGCGGTGGCTCATGCCTATAGTCTTAGCACTTTGGGAGGCTGAGGTGGGCAGATCACTTGAGCCCAGGAGTTTGAGTCCAACCTGGGCAACATGGTGGAACCCCATCTCTACAAAAAATAAAAAAATTACCCAGATGTGGCAGCATGTACCTATCGTCCCAGCTGCTCAAAGGCTGAGGCAGGAGGATCCTTGAGCACAGGAGGCAGAGGCTGCAGTGGCCAAGATCACACCACTGCACTCCAGCCTGGATGACAGACAAAGACCCCATCTCACAAAAAGAATGAGCAGGGAAATCCTCACCAATGTGACAAGTGAGCAAAGATCTGAAGATGAGGGGGATCCCTGAGGAAAAAGCAGTCCAGGTAAAGGAAACAGTAAGTCCTGAGGGAGAAACATGTTTGAAGACCAAGAAAGAGGACATGCTGTAGGCTATCTGAAGCCACAGTACACAATCAGTGATGGCCAGTTTTGGGTTCTTTTTGGTGATCTGGGAAAACCCCTAGTGATGCAAGCAAATATGGGGGATGCCAGCTACCAGTGGGGTTAACTGCATCCCACTCCTGGATGAAACCTATTTTAGAGACAGGCCTACATCAGGGACTCTGGGTAACAGAAGGTACCTCTTTCCTTGCAGGCCACAGAGATGCTGGTTCACAACGCCCAGAACCTCATGCAGTCTGTGAAGGAGACTGTGCGGGAAGCAGAAGCTGCTTCAATCAAAATTCGAACAGATGCTGGATTTACACTGCGCTGGGTTAGAAAGACTCCCTGGTACCAGTAGGCACCTGGCTGAGCCTGGCTGGCACAGAAACCTCTATTAAAAAGAAAGAAAATGATCTGAGTCCCAGGAGCTGCCCTGAGTTGCTGGGAGCTGAAAATCACATCCTGGCCTGACACATCAGAAAGGAATGGGGGCCTCTTCAAATTAGAAAACATTTATACTCTTTTTTCATGGACACTTTGAAATGTGTTTCTGTATAAACCCTGTATTCTCCAACACAGTTATACTTGTGCACCCTCTATCCCAATAGGCAGACTGGGTTTCTAGCCCATGGACTTCACATAAGCTCAGAATCCAAGTGAACACTAGCCAGACACCCTGCTCTGCCCTTGTTCCCTAGGGGACACTTCCCTCTGTTTCTCTTTCCTTGGCTCCCATCCACTCTTTCAGACTCCCAAGACCCAGGGCCCAGGCAAGTCAGTTACTAAGAGGAAAACTGCTGTGCCTCCAAAAATTGTTTTGAGCTTTCCATGTTGCTGCCAACCATGCCTGCCTTCCCTGGGCTGTGCTACCTGGGTCCTTTTCAGAAGTGAGCTTCGCTGCTACAGGGGAAGGTGGCCTCTGTGGAGCCCCAGCATATGGGGCCTGGATTCATTTCCTGCCCTTCCTCAGTTTAATCCTTTTAGTTTCCCACAATATAAAACCGTATTTCACCGTCAGGAAGAAATCACAGAATCATATGATTTTGCCTTTACCATGCCCCTGAGCAATGTCTGTGCTAGGGAAACTTCCCATCCCATATCCTGCCTCAGCCCATGAACACACTGTGTCCTGGTGCTCTCTCCCGCTGGAAGGGCAGAGTAGCCAGGGTGTGGCCCTGCCATCTTCTCCGCAGGGCCACTCCTGGCACTCCATGCTTAGTCACTGCCTGCAGAGGTCTGTGCTGAGGCCTTATCATTCATTCTTAGCTCTTAATTGTTCATTTTGAGCTGAAATGCTGCATTTTAATTTTAACCAAAACATGTCTCCTATCCTGGTTTTTGTAGCGTTCCTCCACACCCTTTCTAAACAAGATTTTAAAGACATGTAGGTGTTTGTTCATCTGTAACTCTAAAAGATCCTTTTTATCCTTTTAAAATTCAGTCCTAAGAATGAGTGCTTGTCCCCTAACAGTGTTTAATGGCAAGGCAGCCTTGTCTGAAGGACACCTCCTGCCTAAAGGAGAGTGGTATTTGCAGACTACAATTCTAGTGCTGCTGAAGATGAATCAATGGGAAATACTACTCCTGTAATTCCTACCTCCCTGCAACCAACTACAACCAAGCTCTCTGCATCTACTCCCAAGTACGGGGTTCAAGAGAGTAATGGGTTTTATATTTCTTATCACCACAGTAAGTTCCCACTAGACAAAATGAGAGGGCAATGTTTCTTTTTTGGTACTTATTACTGCTAAGTATTTTCCAGCACGTGAAACCTTATTTTTCCCCAAAGCCAGAACCAGATGAGTAAACAAGTAAGAATCCTTGCCTGAACATCCTTCCGTCTCACCCATCACTGTGTGTTAGTTCCCAACATCGAATGTGTAAAACTTAAGTTGGTCCTGTACACTCAGGCTTTCACTATTTCCTTTAAAATGAGGATGATTATTTTCAAGGCCCTCAGCATATTTGTATAGTTGCTTGCCTGATACAAATGCAATATTAATGCCTTTAAAGTATGAATCTATGCCAAAGATCACTTGTTGTTTTACTAAAGATTTACTTAGAGGAAATAAGAAAAATCATGTTTGCTCTCCCGGTTCTTCCAGTGGTTTGAGACACTGGTTTACACTTTATGCCGGATGTGCTTTTCTCCAATATCAGTGCTCAAGACACAGTGCAGCAAATTTAAAAAAAAAAAAATCCCTGAATGATTAGAGAATCACCGCTAAAAAACTACATTTATAAGCTAGGATTTGTTATATGCAAATATTTTCTGCCTCTTCTTTTGTTCTGTTTAAAACAATAAAATGCATTTGTATAAATAATGCTTTCAAGGATGGGTATGTTATTTTAGCAAGAACTTTTAGGTCAGGTTTCTCCTTTGTTTTGATGAACAGCCAATGAAACTAATCCTCAAGATCTGGAAACTAAAGATTTTTATTTAATCCAAATGTTGTACTGGAAGAAGAAATCAACGGTGGTATATTTACTTAACAAGGATGTGTGTGATACAAGACAACTATGGGGATTACACACTTAAATGAATGGAAGTGGCAAAGGTTAACAGCAGGCAGAAAGCAGCTGGATGAAACAGTTTGTTTTCATCTTAGAAGATTCTAGCTATCTGTGGAGACCATCACTGTTCCCTGAAAAGCTAAAGTCGTCAAGTTTGTAGGAGTACCACAGGTCCTTCCCCCACTGCAAGACAGAGTCTTGCTCTGTTGCCCAGGTTGGAGTGCAGTGGTACAATCTTGGCTCACTGCAACCTCTGCCTCCTGGGTTCAAGCAATTCTCCTGCTTCAGCCTCCCATGTAGCTGGGATTACAGGCGTGCACCACCATGCCTGGCTAATTTTTGTATTATTAGTAGAGATGAGGTTTCACCATGTTGGCCAGGCTGGTCTTGAACTCCTGACCTCAAGTGATGCACCCACCTTGACCTCCCAAAGTGCTGGGATTACAGGTGTGATCCACCACACCCGGCCACACAGGTCCGTTTTTCATATTCCAAAGCCTAGTATAAACAGGGTTTTCAGGGATCCACCAGGAAAAAGCCCTTATATGGGCTATAAGGCAGAGATAGCTTTGGGGGACATAGTCCTCTTCTTCCTTAAAGAAACACTGACTAAAATAGTAGGAGCAGGTGTTTAGAGTAGAGTTGGGACAGCACTGGTTTTGCCTGATTTTCTAGATCTGAAAGGAGTAACATGTCATTAAAGGGTGATGATATTGATATTTAGTGCTGCCAACTGCTATTATCACTGCTTTATCTTGGAAAGCTGCCGAATATAAAGACAGATCCCAGCCTGTTTGAGTTAAAGAAAAGTTCAAGGCTACTACTGAATTAGCAGAACTGTCTTGTTTTTGCCATTTACCATATGTTCACTGGTGCTGCCTTCCTGCTGCAGTATAATCATTTTCTCAACTTGCCGCTTAGGACAAGATCAGCATTTTCCTGATCTTGTTCTGTATTTGTTCCTGATTTTCTACTGTAGCACCACTTAAGAAATGAACCTATCACAGGAACTCCCTTTGGATAAAATAATGTGACTCCCACACACTGGAAATAATCATCTACTTCATTTGTTCTTGATATGCTCCCTTGTGAATTTAGAACTAAGGGATCCAGGATTAGCTGTAACTCTGCTTGAAAAATATTTTACTACTACTAAGTATTCAGGAATCTTTGTTATCAGTAGGTGGTGGTAGTGATAGAGAAGGGAGCTTTGATCACTAATCTCTCAGACTGTGGCCAGAATGGTGATGCTTAAGCCAAGTATGAATGGCTATTAACATAACGAGGTTAGGGAAGGAGTACTGAGAAGTGCTTTGCAGCAACACTCACAGCTTGTATGATGATGCAGAAGAAAATCTGATCATGTTCATCCTGCTTTGACAATGAGCCTTGCCCATTGGAGAATGTTCAATCAATAGTAGACCTAAAAAAAAATCAACTTGTTGCTTTCATCTTTTTATTGATAGCATAGCCAGAGCTACCGAAATGATTTACTGGATTCTAGCAAATTAATAAATACAGTAATTTGATTGTAAAAGAAAACATTCTATTTGGACATTTTAGTAGAAATTGCTAGAAGGAAGGAGCTCCTGGCATACATTCTACTTGGATAGAAGAGAAGATAGTATAGGAGGAGAACTGGACAGTCCAGGTATAGACTGTTGAGATTAGGGATTCAGCAGAAAGCGAAGCAAATGTTCTGATTGTTCTTTTGAGGTACAAACTCTGAAGAGTCAAGACATTAAAAATAAAATGCAATTGAACTGGGTAGCTAAACTTAGGCAAAAGGAATAAATATTTGACAACATTTTGACTATTTGGCAGTTCCGTAAAATAACTGCCAATCTGAGATTAGTTTCTTCAGAAATATGGAAGCTGCAAAACGTTGCCTTTCTTATGCCATGAAAGGCAGGGCAGACAAAGGTAAGAAAGCTGCTCCGTGGGCTCCTTGTACCAGCACCAACCAGCAGCCCTTGACAGCACAGATGGCATGAGTGTAAGGGCTATCCTTAGCATAAGGAAAAGACGGTTATAAGCTGAGAAGACTGAAAGAAGAATGGAGCTATAAAGAGAAGAAAATAGCATAAATAAGAAGGAAACATGAAGAATATCTTAACTTTCAGTCTTTCTCCATTTCTTGATGTCTAATGAGGCAAAAAATAACTGGGCAAGGACCACCAAGATGAAGAAGTTACATAAAATGACACAATGAAGTTGAGTGCAATAATACAACTGTTGACTGACTTTCCAAAACCATGGTGATCAGTACAGTATCATCAATGTTACCGAGGATTTTGTTTCTGCCTCATTATAACTCACGTCCATGTATTTTGTCAGTATAGTAGGTATATTTAAGCACTCCAGTGACAATTATGACAATAGTTTCTGGAAGAAATCTATGACTATAGCTTTGGGAAGCACACAATATGAAAAGGGAATTTCCCCTAAAGACAAGGAATGCAGGCAAATTCAACCCCTTAAGAACAACAACAAAAAAGGTAAAAGATTTAAAAAGACTGATGACAGTGAGGCAGGCACATTTTCCTCCTTTTGCTGAACCAGGGCATGAGACATTTAGGTTAACCATGGCTTAACTGGTGTTGGGTAAGCTTTATATTATAAAACATTAAGATGGCAAAGGTTTCACTTAAGTTTTTCTTTTACTACTTTAATTTGCTTAAAAGCACAAATGCCTGTGGTTGCAGTAACTTCCTGAAAGCAGAAGTAATGTTCCCTTTTACTACCTTAATAAAGCATTTGCCCCTGTGATACAAATGATTTTTTTACTGTGCTAACAGCTGAACCAGTGGCACAAAATTGAGATGGTATTTACTGCAGCAAGGTCCCTGTAAATCAAATAAGCTTTACATAAAAATCTTATTTATAAAAAATACAATACCAAGTACAGAGAGAATGGAGCATGGAGCAGCAGTGCTCCTTGCCAGGGCCATGTGGAAGTGGCTTTTGCTACAGTGCTTGCTTAATGGCACAAGTGAAAAGCTGAATAAGGCAAACACTTGAAGAGGCAGTTTTCTGTAAACTTCTGGGGGTGTGGGGAATTTCCTCTCTTGGGACAGATACTGGTTTGGGATGGCTAAGATCACATGTGATATTTGGCTGCACCTGACACATCACAGATTTAAGATAGCTTCTGCTGGATGAGACCAGTTAACTCCTTTTAGGAGAGAAGTTATCACTGTAGCTTTCTGCCTTTACTGTTACAATGTGCAGCCGTCAGATGGTATTCTCCTATGGAAAAAAAATCACCTCCAACATCTTCCTAAGTGAAAAGATACAAAATAAGCTAAGTCACTAAAAGGTTTCCTTAGCTTAAAGCTCCTTAAGAATCCTACATTGATAACTAAGCAACTTTGTTAGCGGTGTGTAGCTAGACACAAATGCTTTAACTAGAATATCTATTCCCACCCACTTGGTACCTAATAGTAATACATCATAATGACACTTGGAAAACAAACTGGTCTTGAGAAATTTTGGCCTCTTCTCATGTCCTCACTTGGAACTTTCCAGCTTTCGTGACGTATTTGACTCCTTTAAATGGCTTATATTTCTCCCCATACATGTCCAAACGGTTCACTTTTAAGCCTGTGTCAAAAAGAATGAAAAAGAATAAATTATCATCATCCCAACCAATATGTTAGCAATGAGCACTATATGGTAAATCTGACATTAACCAGTGTCCCTTCCACCATTTGGAAGAAATGTCTCTTCTATCATTTACAAATTATTGCACTTTGATGGTATGGTTTTGGTTAAGATTCCCACACAGGCAGGGAATGTCTGTGAAGTATAATTCTACTTTCTGTAAATATGAATAACTCCCTTTTTGGTGCTTGAATGAGGGCAGAGGTGAGGGGAAGCTGTTTGAAATAAGGTGTTCTTCAAAATCATTTGGTTGATGCCTGGGAGATGGCCCCACCAAGCACAGTGTAAAAGGCAAATGGGCTACTGCTCTTTCTAGAGAGGGAAACTTTTGTTACTCTTCTAAGTGCCTAATAATTGAGCTTGCAAAACTCAATTACCCTTAACTACAAGTCAACCTTATCCTCACCTGAAATAGCAAGCTGCTGGATCTTAAACTGTATATTGAGGCTCGGATTCTCTTCTGGTTTGGGGGCTCCAGACTGTAAATTTACCAGTCCTTTAAGACTTGGGAGCTTTTGTGGAGTAATTTTTCCCACATCCCATGTTAGTACCTTAAAAAGACAAAGAATGAAAAACAAATAGAACCATTTATTAAAGACAAACCCTCAAAAACAAGGTTCAAAGACATCATAAACTTATGTACAAAATGAAGTGCAGTCTCTTGAAAACAAGAGATCTGGGATCTACAGTGAGTTTACCTCTGATTAGCTCTGTGACTTTGAATGGGGAGTGAGGACAGAGAATCTACATTTGTTGAGCATTTTCTTTTGTATTAGCACCGTGCTTAGCACTATTCATATGTTATCTCATTGAGGGCTGTGAAGTAGCTTTTGTCTTCTATTTACAAATGAGGAAATTAAGGCTTAGAGATCAAATGACTTGCTCAAGGTCACACAGCTAGTCAGAGGTAAGGCTGGGATTTGAACCTAAGGCTCTCTGATTTCAAATGTTCTCCATCATACCATCTTCACTACTTTTCTCTGGGCCTGTTTCTTTTTCTTTTTTTTTTTTGAGACAGAGTTTCGCTCTTGTTGCCCAGGATGGAGTGCAATGGCGCAATCTTGGCTCACCACAACCTCCGCCTCTCGGGTTCAAGTGATACTCCTGCCTCAGCATCCCAAGCAGCTGGGATACAGGCATGCGCCACCATGCCCAGCTAATTTTGTAGCTTTAGTAGAGATGGGCTTTCTCCATGTTGGTCAGGCTGGTCTCGAACTCCTGACCTCAGGTGATCTGCCCGCCTCGGCCTCCCAAAGTGCTGGGATTATAGGCATAAGCCACTGTGCACGGCCTCTGTTTATTTTTCTGTAAAATAATTAGATTGACTTAAGATGGTGTTTTTAAAACTTTTAGCTGTGAAACCCATTGTTCAAATGAAATCTTCGGTGTAGAGGCTCAGCAGCAGATGAGAAAGAAAGCAAAGCTGTCATAGTTGAAGCTGTGGTAAAGGGCCAGGAATCTGAAGCTCCCTTTCTCAGCCCTGTGTGGTCTCCAGGAGGTTTTTTGAATCCTTACAACTGTATTAAATAATCTTTAACATTCTATGATGTTATTCAAAAAACATGTCTTTTCATTTATCAGGTAGCTCAATGACTCTGCTATTGAAAACAATCATATTTACTAGCTAATCAGGAAGCTGAGAGAAAATCATCTGCTACAGTTTCTCTGAAAACCCTCTGCTACAGGAAAATTTAAGTAGGGTGAGGAAGCAGCTTTCCTAGTCCTGTGAAAGAGTATGAAATGATGCTTTTAAATTAAAAAGGAAGAAAAAGGTCTTAATGATCAATTTATATAGAAAACTTAATAATTCATATACCATCATAATATCTTCTTCTACATAATGTTTTCTCTTTTTAAAAAAGCTTTTACTTCTTTCTTATTAGATAGCAGAGTGAGGCTCTGGATTAATAATGGATGAGTGACGGCACATTCTGAAAAAGGACAGAATGACACACTTTTCTGTTCATCTGCTCAGTAGCAGCTGCAGGATTCCTTCGGCAGCCAGTGGCAGAAGCACAGCACAGTATGCTCTCTAGGTTTTGATACGAACTTTAGTTTTAAACAAGGTGTTAAACCTTTCCCTCCATTCCTCCCCACAAATCACAAAATAGATTGCAGAAACACTTGCTCACTCTTGATTTGAAGTGGCTGTACCTTGGTGACTGGATCAAATGTATAGCTGCCTTGTGTGGTTGTCAGGTTCATGTTCAGCACAACTTTTGGCATGTGAACTGTCACTGTAATTCCTTCAATAGTTTTCCCCATATTCTGCTTTGGTCCAATTGTTATATCAAATCTGCCACAAGAACTGTTCTCTTTAAAGCTGATACTATGTTTCACATACACTGGTATTGCCACTAGACTAAAAAGAGAAACAGAGAAAGATACAAAAGCATAAACACAATTAATGGTGTGGGGACAGCATCAGAGGTATCCTGAAAACCTCTGTCCAGAGTATCCTACCTTACCTTTAACTCCACAATAAGGTGCTACAGAGTTGGCTCTCTGGAGCCACAGTTATGCATCCTTGAATTTGACCAGTTGAGGATTGAAAATATTATTTAACACTATCGGCCAGGCGTGGTAGCTCATGCCTGTAATCCCGGCACTTTGGGAGGCCGAGACCGGCGGTGGGAGGAGATCACCTGAGGTCAGGAGTTTGAGACCAGCCTGGTCAACATAGTGAAACCTCGTCTCTACAAAAATACAAAAATTAGCTGAGGCTGGGTGTGGTGGCTCACACTTGTAATCCCAGTACTTTGGGAGGCCGAGGCGAGGAGTTCAAGGCCAGCCTGGCCAACATGATGAAACCTCGTCTCTACTGAAAATACAAAAAGTAGCTGGGTGTGGTGGCTTGTGCCTGTAGTCCCAGCTACTCAGAAGGCTGAGGCAGGAGAATCACTTGAACCTGGGAAGTGGAGATTGCAGTGAGCTGAGATTGCGCCTCTGCACTCCAGCCTGGGCAACGGAGCAAGACTCCATCTCAAAAAAAAAAAAAAAAAAAAAAGTAAAAAATAACAATATAACTATAAAAAATAATAAAAATAAAAAGTCAACCTGGTATAACAATTATTTACACAGTGTTTACAGTGTACTATCACAAGTAACTTGGAGATGATTTAAAGTACCCAGGAGGATGTGCATAGGTTATATGCAAATACTACACCATTTTATATAAGGGACTTGAGCATCTGTTGATTTTTGCAACCAATCCTCCAAGGATACCAAGATGGCGGTACCTCCAGAACTGCAGATTCAGCATCTACACAAGGGGGAGCTGAGTATAGCATAATGTTCTGGTACCACTGTGCTGGGAACTGTATACAAATCAAGACAGAAATCTGAAGTTTAATAACAGTATTAACAATTGGGGTGGCTGGGTGCAGTGGCTCATGCCTGTAATCCCAGCACTTTGGGAGGCCAAGGCAGGCAGATCACTGGAGGTCAGGAGTTTGAGACCAGCCTGGCCAACATGGTGAAACCCCCTCTCTACTAAAAAAAGTAACAAGAAACAAAAATTAGCTGGGCGCGGTGGCGGGCGCCTGTAATCCCAGCTACTTGGGAGGCTGAGGCAGAAGAATCACTTGAACCCAGGAGGTAGAGGTTGCCATAAGCCAAGATCACAGAATTGCACTCCAGCCTGGGCGACAATAGTGAAACTCCATCTCAAAACAAACAAACAAAAAAACCAAAAAAACATAAAACAAACAAACAAACAAAAAACAATTGGGGCAAATGGCCCTAGTTTAAAAAAATGAATTACGATCCCACTGAAAAATAATGTAAAATATGTTTTATATAAATGAAAACAGTTCCTATGTGATGAGTCAAGAAACAGGCTGGGTGCGGTGGCTCACGCCTGTAATCCCAGTACTTTGGGAGGCTGAGGTGGGCGGATCACCCGAGGTCGGGGGTTCGAGACCAGCCTGACCAACATGGAGAAACCCTGTCTCTACTAAAAACACAAAATTAGCCAGGCGTGGTGGTGCATGCATGTAATCCCAGCTACTTGGGAGGCTGAGGCAGAGAATCACTTGAACCCTGGAGTTGGAGGTTGAGGTAAGCCAAAATTTCACCATTGCACTCCAGTCTGAGCAACAAGAGCCAAACTCCGGTTCAAAGAAAAAAAGAGCCAAGAAATAATTTCTCTGTTTTTGAGTCCTGTCATAATGTTACTCAAATAACTTCTGGTATTTTCAAGAAACAAACTAGCTATAAAACTACGATCCCCAATGCTAAATTTTTTTTTATTTTTTTGAGATGCAATTTCACCTTCTTGGCCAGGCTGGAGTGCAGTGGCATGATCTGTCATTGCAACCTCTGCCTTCCAGGTTCAAGTGATTCTCATGCCTCAGCCTCCCAAGTAGTTGAGATTATAGGCACACACTATCACGCCTGGCTAATTTTGTATTTTTAGTAGAGACAGGGTTTCACCACGTTGACCAGACTGGTCTAGAACTCCTGACCTCAAGTGATCTGCCCACACTAGCCTCCCAAAGTGCTGGGATTACAGGAGTGAACCACTGCACCCAGCTCTCAATGCTGAACAGTTCCTTAAAACCTCAATGCAGAGAAGACTGACTTGAAGCAGGTAAGTTTGGGAATGTCCTCACGAACTACAGGTAGGTCTGTCTCCTTGTTAGCCACAAAGTCTACAGACTATGGTAAGATTATGGCAGTGGTTCATGGTTTTGCCTGGGTTATGCACAGTCCATTTTGCTCTGCTTGCAAAGTACTCAGCTGTCAGAAGCAGAGCAAAATGGACCATGCATAACCTGAGCAAAGAACCAGCGCCATAATTTGACAATGCGTAACCTTGCAAAGAACCAGTACCATAACCTTTTGCCCAGGTTATGCATGGTTTGCTTGCCCTTGGCTATAGGTTTTACTCTAGTCTCACTTAGTACCACTCTACACTCATACATTCAAAGCATACTGATATTTTAGGTGCGTATTTTCACCAGTTCTCACTGGGTCTCCTGGTGAGCTATGGTTAAAGTGAGCAATGACGACCTCGAGTACTCAACTGTCATAAAGGAACACGGAAAGGTGAGTTCTGCTTGATATGTATGATGGCAGATTCTGGCTGATGCATCAACATACTTTTGTGAGCTGACACGGTATGATATGAGTCGGAAATTTCCATCTGGAGGAATAAATGACAAAACTCTTTCAGATTCCCAACGCTTGAACCGGATGCAGGGGTGGAAGCTGACGTCATCCAGAAGCCTAGGGTTCTGTCAAGAAAACAGAAGACAGCCGTGTTCATAGAGCATAATGAATATGGGAACTGTACTTAGATACCTTGACAAATCAATATGTTCCCTGAAAATAAAGCAGTCATGGAAGAGTTTATGACCACATCTACACAACCTTATAGTTTCACAATGCTTTAAAGTTTGTAAATATTTTATGTACATTATTTTATTGAATTTCAATAACCATAAAGGAGAAAAGGCAAGTATTATTATTTCCCTTTAACAGATTAAAAAACTGAGGTTCAGAGGACTTAAGGTCAGAACAAACTGGTGACAACACAGAAGTCAGTTCTCTTAATTGTTCCTAGCAGTATGTCATGCTGACTCTAAAATGATACAAAAGACTAATGTCCTTTCATATCAGCAAAGCAAATAATTACTCAGTAAAAATGATACTGGATATTTGCAGAAGCCAGCCAGCCAATTTTAAGCCCCTTGTAGCACACTCAGGCAAAGACCTCCCTTAGCCTTTCCATAAAGACCACGCTCATCATGTAAGTGACTGTCTTAGGAAACTCTGCTAGGAATATTTCTGAGACAATCCTTTGCCATCTAAGATGCAAACTTATCTCAATATTTATCATTTCATTTAGTACTTCACATGTATTCAAGGGGCTATAAAATAGGAGACTAAAACTTACCATGAAAGAAAGGGAGAGATCGGGCATTCCAGATAGTTTAATGCAAGCATCAATGACCCCCTGAATTTCTGCAAAGACTGTAGATCCTGAAGAAAGAAAGAAAAAGGAAGATAACATCAATGGAATATGAGTCTTAACTAGAGCTATCACTGTATCTTTTTATTTTTATTTATTTATTGTTTTTAGAGACAGAGTCTTGCTCTGTTGCCAAGGCTGGAGTGCAGTGGCACGATCACAGCTCACTGCAGCCTCACTCCTGGGCTCAAGTAATCCTCCCGCCCTAGCCTCCCGAATAGCTGGGAATATAGGCGCGTGCCATGACACCTAGCCCAACAATCACTATATTTAGAATAATGGAGATGCCCTCTGGGTGTCAGACTTACTGAAGCTTTACATCTCTATTAACAGGTCAGGGGACAAGGTCCATACCTAACTCTTGTTGGAATATGATAATTTTTCTTTTTTTAAGAGATGAGGTCTTACTAGCTAGTCCCAGCTGGCCTCCAGAGTAATTGGGACTACAGGTATGCCACCGTAGAATATAATTTTATTTTTTTTTGAGACAGGGTCTTTCTCTGTCACCCAGGTTGGAGTGTAGTAGTGCTATGACGGCTCACTGCAGCCTCAACCTCCTGAGCTCAAGCAATCCTCCCACCTCAGCCTCCCAAGAAGCTGGTACTACAGGCATGCACCTCCATGCCCGGCTAATTTTTGTATTTTTTTGTAGAGACAGGGTCTTGTTACATTGCCCAGGTTGGTCTCGAACTCCTGGGCTCAAGCAATCTGCCTACCTCAGCCTCCCAAACTGCTGGGATTACAGGTGTGAACTACCATACCCAGCCAGAATATGCTAATTCTAAGGAAAATTAAACTGTCTCCTTTATGGAGCCAACCCTGTAAGATGACTGGATATGAGTTTAAAACATATGAGGCCAGGCACAGTGGCTCATGCCTGTAATCCCAGCATTTAGGGAAGCCGAAGTGGGTAGATTATCTGAGCTCAGGAGTTTGGGACCAGCCTGGGTAACATGGCGAAACCCCGCCTCTACTAAAAATACAAAAAATTAGCCAGGCGTGGTGGTGTGTGCTTGTAGTCCCAGCTACTCGAGAGGCTGAGGCAGGAGAATTGCTTGAACCCAGAAGGCGGAGGTTGCAGTGAGCCGAGACCGCAACACTGTACTACAGCCTGGGCGACAATGTGAGACTCTGTCTCAAAAACAAAATAAAACAAACCAAAAACATTTTCAATAGAATTTTAAAATGAGGCAAGGGTATTATGAAATGGACTAAGTCAACTTTTAAGAAATAGGATCCATAATAGAAAGATCTCTCTTTCTTTTAGAGACAGGGTCTCCCTCTGCCATCCAGGCTGGAGTACAGTGGTGTGAACATAGCTCACTACAGCATTGAACTCCTGGGCTTGAGCAATCCTCCTGCCTCAGCCTCCTGAATAGGTGGGATTAAGGAACCCATGCCTAGCTAATCTTTTAAATTTTTGATAGATACGGGGTCTCGCTATGTTGCCTAGGCTGGTCTTCAACTCCTGGGCTCAAGTGATCTTACTGCCTAAGCCTCCCAAAGTGCTGGGATTACAGGTGTGAGCCACCGTGCCTGGCAAAAAATCTGTTATTCTATAAGATGGAATGTTATAATGAAAAGGGCACTCATGGAAGAGAAGATATTGACTATAATTCACAATAAGCCATCACTACATGTTAACAAGTTGTGTGACTTGGAATAGTTCACTTAACCCTTCTGGGCTTTCCTTATGTATAAAATAAATGTAAGGGAAGGACTAATTTTTTTTTTTTTTTTTTTTGAGATGGAGTCTCGCTCTGTCACCCAGGCTGGAGTGCAGTGGTGCAGTCTTGGCTCACTGCAACCTCTGCCTCCTGGGGTCAAGCAATTCTCCTGCCTCGGCCTCCCGAGTAGCTGGGATTACAGGCGCCTGCCACCATGCCCAGTTAATTTTAGTATTTATAGTAGAGATGGGGTTTTACCATGTTGGCCAGGCTGGTCTTGAACTCCTGACCTCAAGTGATCTGCCTGCCATGGCCTCCCAAAGCGCTGGAACTACAGGAGTGATCCACCATGTCTGGCCGCTATTTTTAATAATAAAATTTTATGATTCTTATAGAGTACCATTGTTTTGTCTGGTCAAAAAGATAATTAGATTGGGTGTGGTGGCTGATGCCTGTAATCTCAGCACTTTGGGAGTCTGAGGTAGGTAAACTGCTTGAGCCCAGGAGTTCAAGACCAGCCTGGGCAACACGGTGAGACTGTACAAAAAAAATAAAAATAAAAGCTAGCCAGGCATGGTGGCGTGCGGTGTGTACCTCCTGATTGGCTGGGACTATAGGCTACTCAGGAGTCTGAGGTAGGAGGATCGCATGAGATGGAGGTCAAGGCTGCAGTAAGTAGGGACTGCACCAGTGCACTCTAGCCTGGGCAAAAGAGCAAGACCCTGTATTTAAAAAAAAAAAGAAAGAAAGTGAAAAGATAGGGGCTTTTATCAGAAGTACTGCACATAATGTAGTAGCAAAAGCATGGTATATGGTAGATTTTCAATAAATGTTAGAAGGAATAAATAGCAAGAGGTAGAGTTACATAGGGTAATAATTAGCTTAAAGTAAGGCATTATCAGTTCTGATTTACATGTTTGGCAGACCTCAACTAGTGGTTATGAAAATTATATGTAACCTATGGGCAAAATACACAGATTTATGGGCCAGGTGCAGTGGCTCACGCCTGTAATCCCAGCACTTTGGGAGGCCAAGGCAGGTGGATCACTTGAGGTCCGGAGCTCGAGACCAGCCTGGCCAACACTGTGAAACTGCGTCTCTACTAAAAATACAAAAAATTAGCCAGGGCCAGGAGCAATGACTCATGCTTGTAATTCTAGCACTTTGGGAGACCGAAACAGGCGGATCACCTGAGGTCAGGAGTTCGAGACCAGCCCTGACCAACATGGAGAAACCCTATCTCTACTAAAAACACAATATTAGCTGGGCGTGGTGGTGTATGCCTGTAATCCCAGGTACATGGGAGGCTGAGGCAGAAGAATCGCTTGAACCTGGGAGGCAGAGGTTGCGGTGAGCCGAGACTGCACCATTGCACTCCAGCCTGGGCAATGAGAGCGAAACTGCATCTGAAAAGAAAAAAAATTAGCCAGGTATGGTGGCTCATGCCTGTAATCCCAGCTACTTGGGAAGCTGAGGCAGCAGGATCGCTTGAACCCAGGAAGTGAAGGTTCTAGTGAGCCGAGATCATGTCACTGCACTCCAGCCTGGACAACAGTGAGATCCCATCTCAAATAAATAAATAAACAAACAAACTAACAAACAGATTTAAAAATCATCAGATAATGAATGCCTTTCTACTGAAACCATACTGCCAAAGGACTTCAATTTTCTTTTCTTTCTTCTTTTTTTTTTTGTTGAGACACAGCCAGGCTGGAATGCAATGGCGTGATCTTGTCTCATTGCAATCTCTGCCTCCCAGGTTCAAGCAATTCTGCCTCAGCCTCCTGAGTCACTCCAGGTGCCACCACACCTGGCTAATTTTTCGTATCTTTAGTAAAGACGGAGTTTCACCATGTTGGCTAGGCTGGTCTCAAACTCTGACCTCGTGTTCCACCTGTCTTGGCCTCCCAAAGTGCTGGGATTACAGGCGTGAGCCACTGTGCCTGGCCAGGACTTCAGTTTTCTATTCATCTGTGTCAGATGAATTGTTTTGCCCCAAATAAGATGACATGCACACAATTACCTGATTTATCTATAATTGCGTCTATTTCTTCAACGACATCAAAATAGGCTTCATTGTTTGTGTACTTTACCCCTGCCCGACGCCATGGTATGTTGGACAGCTGCCCAGTGGGGAGTGTGTCCCCAACATTACTACTGCCTAGAAACCCAAAAAGAAGGCAAAGTTGATGTGTAAAACAGTCATGAGAAAATGATTACTGGGAAAAAGAAAGCTGCTTCTTTAATGTTTGGATTTTTCTTAATGAACTTGTGGATGGTCTCTAGAATTGTCAGACATTTCCATACCAACATGATCAAATTTCTAGAAGAGAAAAATAGGCCATGTGGCCCTCTGTTTACCTGCCAAACCAGGTTAAATTTATTTACTTATCTTTTGCTTCCTGTGTGTTAACAGTAACCTAATCTAATTCCAGTGGCTCAAAAACAGATTCTCTGCCACTGATGAAAAAAGAGGCTGGTTGTTTCAAAATCTTCTGCCAATAAAATGTCTCCACTGAGAATACAGAGTTATAACTAGGCCCTTCAGTATTCAACTTTAATTTACACAAGATGCTGCCAAGCAGGCCTCAGTGGAGTAAATGGAATCTGGGCTTTTCCTATTTTAAGGTCAACATACCCATATGGCTGCAATATAGCTAGTGTTCAGTATCCGGCTAATTTCCTGGTAAACTGACACATGTCTAAAAATAAGTGTGGTTGTCCAAAACACCTATCTTTGAGCTGTGACTTACTTAACATTTTGGTTAATTTATATTTCCAATTCGAAAGTACTACATACTTAAAAACAACAAAAAAAAGGTGGAGTTCAGAAAGGTGGTTTAAAGAAAAACACTAGACTTCTTACTAACAAAATACATCTACCATTAACATTTTTGTTAATATTATGGTATTAACGTTTTGGCATATTTCTTTAAACATTTCCACCACCAGAAGGTTACATTTTTTTCTATTGTGATAATTTTGGTTTTTAATTGCACTTTAAAATATAGTTGCAATCATACTGTATCTATAATTTTGCAGTCTACTTATGATTGGTGTTCCTACCTGCAACCTACAATCATGTTATCTTCCTGCTCAAAAATCTTCAATGGTTGATCACTGACTTTATGATAAAAGCTAAATATTCAGCCTAGCTTTGAAGGACTTTCTCTACTTTTTAATCTAATCTCTAACTTCTCAACTGAAAAACAGTTCTGCTTCTGCATTAATAAAACTTTAGGTCTTTCTCTTTCATGTGTGTTTTTTTCTCATACAGTTCTACCTATGGAGAATGCTCTTACTCCTCCCTCACTTCCTGAATTCTACTGATTCTCCAAGGTGGCCGCCCACCACAGTTCAGGAGGGAATACTTCATTAATGGAACCATTCTCTTGAACTTTGTAATATACTGCCTTATGAATCTGTTATGTTTTGCATTCTATATTTTAGTAACTTTTCTCTGACTATAAAATACATGTTTATTTTGGAAAATTAGAAAGTATAAAGCAAAAATAAAGATAATCTGTATTTCTTTAGCTGGGTATAATCATTGTAAATATTTAGAATTTTTTGGCCTGGGTGAATATTTATATATAAGAATAATTTTTTCAGTTTTGTGCTGACTTTTCAATTTAACATTATATCATGTGTATTTTCCAATGCTATTACATTATCTGTGAAGTATGGAATTGCTTTTTAAAGTCTTATACAGTTATTTACTTATTTTAATTTTTTTTCCAACGTCCCATTCAGAGTATAAGTTTTAGGAGCACAGACATGCCATCTTATCTTTCTCTGAATTTCTCTCAACATTCACCCTTACACAGAGGATGAATAAAGAGCTGCTGAATGATCTTCTTCTTATAGGCCTCTCTCACCTCATTTTTAGGTCAAGGCACTGGAGAGGGGTTTACAGTGGTGGACAGTGGAGTTGGAGTGGCATATAACATTTCACAGGAATCTTTCTCTAAAAGACTTTAAAGCTTTCGAAAGAACATTGGCATCTGGGTGTGCCTAATTTCTAGCTACACTCAAGAATTAAACCCAACTGGAAGCTTACAACATAAGTACGGGCCCACAATGCATGCGATCTCATGAGTAAACTATTTTTCTGTTTTTTCTTAATACATCTTCTGCATGCATAAAAACAAAGACTCGGAGGATATTGTAGTACTGTGTGGTTAAGAGTCTTAAATTTTCTATTCTCTAGTAATTGTGGAGTAGCAGCATACCAGTTGTTATTTTAAACATTAAAATGCCAGTCTATAAATGGACTAAATTCTCTTCTAAGTGGGCTCATATACTGGCTTCTTTAGGACTAACTGGAACAATTTATTCAGTCTTAGTATTTAGTGTTAAATAATGGTAATAATATTGTTGTGGTATTTTAGAAAAAAAAAAAAGAGTAATAACCAAAAGTTCTTCATCACTTAAGGTCTAGCCTCTTTCTATGAAGATAAATATACAGTACATCCATTTTAACTTTACCAGTAAGTTTAATTATGGCTGAATTGTACTACCTTAATAATACATCAGATCATGAGCAATAATGAGTTGTTTACAAAGTTTTAATTGCTCAGTTACTAGTAAAGTATGTTTTCATCTTACCTGTAATAGAGTTGACAACAGACCGTAGAATTGTTGGCGGTTTAATTAATTCTTTCAAAATGTTAGATTCGGTAGCCAGCGGAAATCCATTGTCTAACATTTCTTCTAAGAGTTCATATACTATGACCACATTATCCTTAATTGCAGCCTCTGAACACTCACCAAAGTAGTCCTGACAAAATACACAATATCACACAATGGAAGGCACAAAGAAAGGCTTGCTAAATACTTTTTGTTCTGAAGAACAAACTTACAGTAGCATTATTCATTGCTTAAGAAGCTGAACATATGTAAAACAGAGCCGGGGAAAAAACCCTCTTTAGGCCAGGCACGGTGGCTTATGCCTGCAATCCCAGCAATTTGGGAGGCTGAGGTGGGTGGATCACTTGAGGTCAGGAGTTCAAGACCAGCCTGGCCAACATGGTGAAACAGTGTCTCTACTAAAAATACAAAAATTAGCTGAGTGTGATGGTGCACACCTGTGGTCCCAGCTACTTGGGAGGCCGAGGAGGGAGGATTGCTTGAACCCGAGAGGTGGAGGTTGCAGTGAGCCAAGAGCACGCCACTGCACTCCAGCCTAGGTGACAGAGTGAGACTCCGTCTCAAACAAAAAAAACAAGCAAACAAAAAAAACCCTCTATAGTCCTAACATTATTCCTCAGTATTTTCTTGATATTTCTAGCCTGAATTTAATTCCTATTACACATTATACCAGAAAGAGACATTAAATTGGAATTTGAGCTATAAACTTCATTCACCCTGATTAACTATCCCAACATACACATAGATAAGCTTAAATTGTTTGGTATATTCAGCAAGACAAGAGAAAATAATAAAATGTAAATACAGAAGAGCTCATAACCAATGAAAATCTTGAGACCACTGAGAGAACTGCATGTGGAGGGCATTATTGTTTCCTGATGATATGCAGTCATCCCTTGGTAGTTGTGGGGAATTAGTTCCAGGATCCCCTGTGGATACCAAAACTCACAATTCTCAAGTCCCTGACATAAAATGGCACAGTATTTGCACATAACTTATACACATCCCCCTATATACTTTAAATCACCTCTAGATTACTAGTAATATCTAACACAATGTAAATGCTATGTAACTATTTGTTATACTGCATTGTTTAATAATGAGGAGAAGAAGTTTGTACATGTTCAGTTCAATTTTTTTGTTCAAATATTTGCCATGTAAGGTTCGGTGAATTCATGGATGCAGAACCCATGTATATGGAGAGCCAACTGTAATTTGTAATACATATAAAAAATAGTAAATAGAGCAGCCATGTGTGCAACTGTACACCACATAAAAAAGGGTTTATGAATTTATGCTTAGTTAAACAGAGAGAAACAGACAGTAAACACCAAAACCTGGGTAATTAAATAATATAATCATGTCTCACCTCCAGCTAACTTGGGTCATTTAAGTTAGAAAGGTATGATAGATAACCAACCTGAAAAGTGTCAGCAACTCGATGTAGGAACTCAATTACAAAGAGAGGTGGCACTTCAGTCTGTATGACAGATACAAAGAAGAGCTTATCCCGGTAGATACTGATGAGGTAGTGGTGAGGTGTTGAAATGACAGGTGGTACATTTTCAACATCAGCAGCTTTCTCTTGAGCTTCAAAGAAATAATCACAGACAGACTGGCTCACAACGCTCTTCCAGTGCTTCTCTAGAAATATGTCACCGGAACAGTTTATGAGAAATAGACTGTGGATCATTTTCTGTTGGGGCAAAGAAAGGTTTAAATTTATTATACATTAAATATCATTTAACATATACAAAAAGATCATATACTTTGACCAAGTGGGACTTATTCCAAGAATGCAAAAATCAATCAATATGATATACAATTAAAACTAAAACAACCATTTCAAAAGGTGCAGAAATTGCATTTGACAAAATCCAACATCATTTTACCAAAAAAAACCCCAAAAAACCAAGCCACTTAACAAAAAGAAACCTCCTCAGCCAGGCTCGGTGGCACATGTCTGTAATCCCAGCACTTTGGGAGGCTGAGGTGGGTGGATTGCTTGAGCTCAGGAGTTTGAGACCAGCCTGGGCAACAGGGCAAAACACCATCTTTACAAAAAATACAAAAATTAGCTAAGCATGGTGGCGCTTGCCTGTAGTCCTAGATACTCAGGAGGGTGAAGCAGGAGAATTGCTTGAGCCCAGGAGGAAGGTTGAGGCTGTAGAGAGCTAAGATTGTGTCACTGCACTCCAGCCTGGGTGACCAAGTGAGACACTATCTTAAAAAAAAAAAAAAAAAAAAAAAATTCCTTCATCTGATGAAAATCCCAAAGCTAATATTATATTTAATGGTGAAAGACTGAACACTTCCTCCTTAATAACAAAACCAAACAAGGATGTCCAGTCCCATCATTTCTATTCAACATGGTACTGGAGGTTTGAACCATGGCAATTAAGCAAGAAAATAAAACAAAAGGCTTCCAAATTAGAAGATACAATCTTGTATATAGAAAATCATAAGGAACACACACACACACCTATTAGAGTTAATAAATTTAGTTCAGCAAGCTTGCAGGATACAAGTCAATATACAAATCAATTATATTTCTATCCACTATAGCTATAAAATACTAAAAATGGGCTGGGCATTGTAGCTCATGCCTGAAACCCAGCACTGTGGGAGGCTGAGGAAGGAGGATTGCTTGAGCTCAGGAGTTTGAGACCAGTCTGGGCAACATAGTGAGACCTCATCTCTATTGGAAAAAAAAACAAAAAAAAAACCTGAAAATGAAATTAAGAAAACAATTTCAGGCCCGCCACAGTGGCTCATGCCTATAATCCCAGCACTTTGGGAGGCTGAGGCAGGCGGATCACCTGAGGTCGGGAGTTCAAGACCACTGGCCAACATGGAGAAACTCCGTCTCTACTAAAAAAAAAAAAATGCCGGGCGCGGAGGCTCCCGCCTGTAATCCCAGCACTTTGTGAGGCTGAGGTGGGCGGATTGTGAGGTCAGGAGATTGAGATCATCCTGCCTAACACGGTGAAACCCCGTCTCTACTAAAAAAAAAAAAAAAAAAAAAAAAAAAGCCAGGCGTGGTGGCGGGCGCCTCTAGTCCCAGCCACTTGGGAGACTGAGGCAGGAGAACGGCGTGAACCCAGAGGCGGAGCTTGCAGCGAACCGAGATCGCGCCACTGCACTCCAACCTGGGCGAGAGAGCCTCTGTCTCAAAAACAAAAGCAAAACAAACAAAAAACAAAATTAGCTGGGTGTGGTGGTGCATGCCTGTAATCCCAGCTACTGGGGAGGCTGAGGTAGGAGAATCACTTGAACCTGGGAGGTGGAGGTTGCAGTGAGCTGAGATGGCGCCGTTGTACTGCAGCCTGGGCAACAAGAGGGAAACTCTGTCTCAAAAAAAAAAAAAAAAAAAAAAAAAGGAAAGAAAGAAAGAAAAAAAAAAGAAAATGCTTGTAATCCCAGCTGTCAGGGAGGCAGAGGCGGGAGGACAGCTTGAGTCCAGGAGTTTGAGACCTGCCTGGGCAATATAGCGAGACCCTGTTCTCCACAAAAAGAAAAAAAAAAAGACCAAAAAATAATAATAATAATTTCATTTACAATAGCATCAAAAAATTTAAATATGTAGAAAATAAATTTAACAAGAGAAATACAAGACTTGTATACCAAATATTACAAAACGTCAGTGAAATAAATGAAAAAGACCTAAAAAATGGAAAGATATTCCATGTTCATGGATTGGAAGACTTGATATTTTTAAGATGGCAAAATTTCCCAAACTTATCTACACTTTCAATACAATCCCTATTAAAATCCCAGCTGCTTTTTTGTGGAATTGGGCAGGCTAATCCGAAAATTCATACGGAAATGAAAAAGATCAACAGTCAAAACAATCTTGGCTGGGTGCGGTGGCTCACGGTTGTAATTCCAGCACTTGGGGAGGCCAAGGTGGGTGGATCACGAGGTCAGGAGATCGAGACCATCCTGGCTAACATGGTGAAACCCCGTCTCTACTAAAATTAGCCGGCCGTGGTGGCACGCGCCTGTAGTCCCAGCTACTCGGGAGGCTGAGGCAGGAGAATCGCTTGAACGCAGGAGGCGGAGGTTGCAGTGAGCCGACACCCAAGATTGCACCACTGCACTCCGGCCTGGGTGACAGAGCGAGACTCCATTTCAAAAAAAAAAAAAAAAAAACACACAAAAAAACAAACCCATAGGCCTTTTTGTGGAATTTGACAGGCTAATCCTAAAATTCATATGGAATTGAAAAAGATCAACAGCCAAAACAATCTTGAAAAGGAACAACAGGGGCCAAGGGGTCGGGGTGTGCCCTCCCTCCCCGGCCAGGGCGCTTGGGAGCAGGGACCCACGCCTGCAGCTGAGCATCCTTCCTGAGGGCCACTCTGCTGTTCCAGGGACCTGGGAGGAGCCCTTGGTTCCCCGGGGGCCGGCGCCCTGGGGCGCACACATCCATCCCAGACGGAGCCTGCGTTTCCTGAGCCGGGATCTGGATCTGGGGCCAGAGGGTGTGCTCAAGCCGCACATCCTCGTCTGCCTTGGGGCGCTCCTGGCCAGCTGGTCGCCGTAGGTTAAAGTCACCTTACACCTGTAACCAGTGGACTTTCCTACACACCTTTGCAAGCCTTTCTGTGCCGACCAGAGCCTTCAAAGCGGGGTCTTCTGCCTTTACTTTTGGAAAAGCTTTTTATTTTGAAATATTTGGCTGACTTACAAAAGACTTCCCCTCACACTTGACATGATTGACAAAAGGTCTGAAATGCTTCATCTATAGTCTGATTTACTATGGAAAAAGAATTGGGGGGATGCTTACAAAAATATGTAGAATGTAAAAAGACTGAAAAATATATATATTTGAATTTTTTTAAAAAAGAAAAGGAACAAAGACGGATAACTCGTGCTTCCTGATTTCAAAACTTACTACAAAACTACTGTGTGGTATTGGCACAAGGACAGATATACAGATCGATAGAACATTAACCCTTACATTTATAGTCAACTGATTTTCAACAAGGGTGCCAAGACCTGGGTGACCAGTTGGAGAGAGAACAACCTTTTCAACAAATGGTACTGGAACAACTGGATTTCCACATACAAAAGAATGAAATTGGATACAAAAAGCAACACAAAATGTATCAAAGACCTACTTGGAAAAGCCAAAATGATAAAACTCTTAGGAAAAAATATGCATAGATTTTGACTCTGGATTAGACAATGTTTTAAAGATATGTACAGGCAAGAAAAATAAAAAATAGATAACCTAGAGTCCATCAAAATTAAAACTTTAGTGCTTCAAAGGACATTATCAAGAAAACAAAAATCCACAAAATGAGAGTAAATATTTGAAACCATATATCTTAAAGGGACCCCTATCTGGAAAATATAAAGAACTTTTACTCAATAATAAGAAGGGGCAGGTGTGGTGACTCACAACTGTAATCCTAGCACTCTGAGAGGCTGAGGAGGGAGGACTGCTTGAGACCAGGAGTTTCAGACTCCGTCTCTACAAAAAAATTTAAAAATTAGCCAGGGATAGTGGCTCACATCTGTAGTCCCTGCTACTTGGGAGGCTGAGGTGGGAGGATCGCCTGAGTCCAGGAGTTTGAGGCTGCAGTGAACTATAATCCCACCACTGCACTCCAGCCTGGGTGACAGAGGGAGACCTTGCCTCTAAAACATATACATAAACAAGCCACTTAAAAAATGGGCAAAGGATTTGAAAAGACATTTACCCAAAGAATATATACATACAAACGAATCTTACAGATATGATGTTGAATAAATGAAGCCAGATGCAAAAGAATATACCCAGTATGATTTCATTTATATGAAGTTGTAGAACAGGCAAAACTAATCTATGTTAAATCAAATGGTTTCCTTTATGGAGAGTGGAGGGCCATGGGGATGATCTTCAAGGGTGCTGGTAATGTTTTCTTTTTTTTTTTTTTTTCCTTTTTTTTTGGGATGGAGTCTTGCACTGTGGCCCAGGCTGGAATGCAATGGCGTTATCTCGGCTCACTGAAACCTCCGCCTCCCGGGTTCATGAGATTCTCCTGCTTCAGCTTCCCTAGTAGCTGGGATTACAGGCACACACTGCCACGCCCAGGTAATTTTTTTTTTTTTTTGTATTTTTACTAGAGAGGAGGTTTCACTATGTTGGCCAGGCTGGTCTCGAACTCCTGACCTCGAGATCCGCCTGCCTTGGCCTCCCAAAGTGCTAGGATTATAGGAGTGAGACACCGCACCTGGCCAATGTTTTATGTCTTGATCTGTATGATGTTTACAAGCTGTGTTCCGTTTATGATAACTCATTAGGCTTTACATTATGATTTGAATACTTTTCTGAGTGTTAGTTATGCTTCTTATAAAAAGTATATTGTTCCTGCAATATAGGGGACAATGGAAAAATGTCTAATTATCTTACCTTGTTCCTATCTTTTACGTGTATAAGCACCAGTGTCAGGTTTCAGTCTAGTGGCTCAATCATTCCAAGTAATAGTACTATATGATAAATGCAGTCTAAGAAGAAAGAATTTAAAACCTATGAATACAGTTTCTATGAATGAAGATAAATTCCTAAGAGGAAAGGAAGACTTTCCAAAATTGATTCATTTGATTCCGTTGACATAGAAAACAACATCAACCCTTTATGAAAGCAGCCGACATTTAAAGAGTATGTAGTGATGATCTCCCCTTCCCATTGGACACATATTCAGTAGT